CCCTCCTCTGTGAGCCCTGCTGGGCCCAGGCTCTTCCTCCTCTCCTGCAACCGCAAGTCTCTGCTGCCTTGTCTAACTCTGTGTCTCTAACAAGAGCGCCCAGCAGAAAGGCCTGTATTCTTGTCATCTGTGCTCTTGGAACAAGCTCAGAGCCTGCTGGAGGGAATGGGGCCAGGAAATCAGACATGTTTACATGCGTGTCCCTCATTGCACAAGTACGTGCCTGTGTGTGCGTACACACATGGGAATACGCATTGAAATGCACACAGGAGTATACATGTGAATGAATGCACTCTGCACACGTGCTGTGGACATGGCTATGTCTCTAAGGCGTGCATGAACGAGCCTGTGTGCACGCAGGTCCCCATGGAGACTTAGGCAATGGTGTGCTGGAAAAGTTCTAATGACTAGCTCTCCATTGAAAAATATCCCTAGCCTGTAATCCCAGCTACTCAGGAGGCCAAGATCTGAGGATCATGGTTCGAAGCCAGAGTAGGCAGGAAAGTATGAGACTCATCTCCAAAAAGCCAGAAGTGGTATGACTCTAGTGATAGACCTGCCTTGAGTGAAAAAGCTAAGAGACAGTGCCCAAGACCTGAGTTCAGGCCTCAGGATGGGTACACACACACACACAATTTGTCCATTTCTGTGGTGTGAGCCCTTCACGATGGCTGCCCCAGCTGCCAAGGCATGGCCACTGAACCACAGGAGATAATCCGTAGGAGCTGGCCAGCACACCTGGGGACTGGGAGGTGTGTGTGTGTGTGTGTGTGTGTGTGTGTGTGTGTGTGTGTGCGTGTGTGTGACAGTGAGTAGCTCATGGCTATGCTCCTGCTGTGGCCAGCTTAGGAGGAGTCTGCAGGCTAGCTGGGGATGCTTCTTTGCAGAGCTGGTACATCAGTGAAGCAGAAGGTGATTGGCCACAGGCCAGCTCTCTCCATCTCCCTTGGAAGCCTGTCCAAGCTGATGCTCCTTGTTAGGCCAGATGAGACACTCCCTGAGACAGCGCCTACCCTCACCCTTACAGACCAATGCTCAGGAGGGCCAGAGAGGTGGGGGGAGGCAAAGGAGGAAGAGGAGGGAGCAGGGAGTTAGGCAGAGGAGAGGAAGAGCTGGACAGACTGGGGCTTTCCCAAAGACATTTCTCTGGTCCCATCATAACCTCCAGCTAGAGTTTTCTTCTATAAAGGACAGGTCTTCTGGACTCACAACTTTTTATCTGTCCCTCTGGAGTCAGAGACTTGGGCTCTGAATATTGGGATCTCCACTCAAAAGCCAGAGAGAGAGAGAGGGAGAGAGAGAGAGAAAGAGAGAGGGAGAGGGAGAGAGAGAGGCAGACAGACAGATAGGCAGGCAGGCAGGCAGACAGACAGACACACACAGAATTGCTTCAAATGGGATACTGGGAGTTGCAAAAAGCAATGAAAGCAATCCATTGAAATGAGGACCAAGCTATACAAAAAAAATCTTTATTTCATGTACCAGGATTGTTTTCTGTTTGTTTGTTTTTCAGGTTTCTGCTTTTTAAAATTTTTTTTCTGTTAACAGTCTGAAAAAAAAAAAGACCCACCAAGAAAATAAAATGGAAGTTGTTTTCCTTGAACTGCTTGGAGCCGAATACAAGCCGTCACCCACCATAGGAAGCCGTGCCCTGGGGGGGTCTCTACCGGGTCCCTTTCCTCCCAGCCCCCTAGCCCTTTCTGCCACCCCATGTACCAGAGGCCTTCTTGTTGTAGCCCCTGGCCCAGGCCTCACAGCCTGGGAAGATGGGCGCTCGCTGCGCAGACACGGCCCATGTTCAGGGGATTGAGCTGCTTTCTGGGCAGTCAGGGCACTTGCTTGCTAGCTTCCCTTGCTTCTCTTTTTCTCCCTAGGTTTTTGATGGTCAGGTGTAGAAGCGAGTGGGGAAGGGATAACATTTGGACGGGGAGGGATAGATCGCCATTTCTGCCCAGTCCAAGAGAAGCTTAGTAGCCTCCACACTTAATTGACCCCTGTGCCCTGGGGCCTCAGGCCCTCCCCTGCCCTCTGGCCCAGGCTGGTGCTGTCTTGCGCTGGGGCTGTCGTGGGGTTCCAGCTTCTGCTGACCTTAGTTCATTCACTTTCCTCTTGACAAAAGACAGGCAGGACAGTGGGGAGTGGGCCTTGTGAATGTGTCTCTTCAACTTGGCCTGGACCTCAGCACCCTCCAGGCAGGTGGGTGCCCAGAGAGTGATAACACAGAAAGTCTGGGGTGCACCCAACCTGGGCCTCACCATCATAGGACTGGCTCTAAGGCTGGTTGAAAAGTTCTGGCTTGGGAAAGCGGTTGGATTGTATTGTCTGAACTGGCCCTTGTCACTCTGGCAAAGGAAGGGGAGAAACCAGGGGTGTCCCTCCATACTAGTCTGGGGTGCAATTTTAACTGCAAAGTGGGCTCCCCTCTGGGGACCCACTCTGCGAAAACTCTCTCCACTCCACAAAGGGCATCCTTCACTCCTTCCAGTAAACCTTAGAGGGACCTCTTTCTCATTGATCCCAAAGACAGCGGGGAACCCTGGTGGCTGACCTCTTTGCTAAAGGAAGTTGCTTCCAATGTCTGTGATGGGCTTATAGCATTTAAGAGAGGACACAACATGCAGAGCGGCTCAGGGAACTCCTGTGTCCTCTCCTTCTGCGGAGTGGCAGGATACAGTGGCTCGTGTGTGTTTTTGCTTTGACACTGAATGTAGGGCAGGGGCTGGGGAGCACAGTGAGGAGGCATGTGGGGTGTGTAAATGTGTGTGTGTATGAGAGAGAGAGGAGAGGAGAGGAAAAGAGAAGAGAGAAAGAAGAGGAGAGAAGAGAGGATGGGAGGGGAGGCGAAGACAGGAAAAGTGAGGAGAGGAGAGAAAGAAGGGAAGAAGAGAAGAGAAGAAGAGAAGAGAAGAGAAAAGAGAAGAGAAGAGAAGAAACTGCTGGCTTGGGAAATGTTCTCAATGTCATTGAAATTATTGGCAGCTGTTTTGGTCATCCCAGGCATCTTCCTCCAGGCAAGTGGCAGATCTTAAAAGTCATAGAAACACAAGAAGGGGCCTTTGGAGCCTGTCTGGGTCTGTCCACATGCTTACACAGAGAGAAGCTTATAGAGAAAGGCCACATGGCAAGAAAGTCTAGAATCCAGACCCAGATTCTAGCTGGTGCCCTTCCATACATGTGACTGGTGCACGTGCGTGCGTTGGCATGGTGTAGTGGCAGGCACAGGGGGCATCGTGTGGAATATTGTCATCCATGGCTTTGCAGGGTGCAGACCAGACCAGTTCCTCAGAGCCACACCCCTGGTTGCGTGAGGGGTGACAGCAAGCCATGAGCACTGGGCTTAGAGGACTGTGGATGTGTGTGTGTGTGTGTGTGTGTGTGTGTGAGTGTGAGATGGGGACCAGGAGTGGGGTGTGGGGTCTCCTCTTTCCACAGCAGTGCCTTCCTGCTAGCAGGAACCCCCCTGGAGCTCTTGGGGCCTTTTTCCTGTCCCTCCAGCTCTACACCCAGCTCCCGTCTCTCACAATGGTTTTTCAAAAATGGATTTATATATTTGTTTTCTGTTTTTGTCTTTACAAGTTCCCTGCTAAATTTTAAGTCCCCCACCCCACCCCGTTTTTTTGTTTGTTTTCACAGTTTAAAGCTGGAAAAGAATTAAAAGAAAAATACTATCTGATTTTCTTGCAAGTAAATCCACTTATATATTTACATTTATTTATAGTCTGTGGTTTTTTTATTAAAAAAAATCACCACTTGTTTTTCCTTTTTTTTCTTTTGTAAAAAGAAACCTTTTTGCAATGTCATTGCTGGACCTGCTGGGTCCCCAAAGGGGGCATCAGTGAGTCCAAGGACCCCTCCCCAAAAGGCTCAAAGAGCCCCTTCCCACGAGGCTGGGAGCCTATGAGTCTGGGGGGGGTCCATCATCGCCCCAAGGTCATCAGTGCCTTGAGGTGAGGGGTGAGAAGGGAGAGCTGCTTTATATCCCCTGGGGGCTGGGCATCCCCTAACCCGAAGAACAGGAGTTTGGGGGATAGTGACCCCATAAGGCTCCCTCTGAGCATTCCAGGGGAAGCCCCTTCTTCCCCCTCCCCTCCAGCAGTCTTCCCTCCCCCTTCCCTTCCCTCAAGGCTTAGGAAGTCATCACAGTGGGCTAAGGAATGGGAACCTGGGGCTGAGCAGCCCCAAGCCCACCTAACCTCTAGGCACCTAACGGACAGGGGGGGGGTCCAAGGGCTCAGGTCACCTGGAGGCCAATTGCCTCATTGGTGCTGGGCGGAGCAGGCTCTGGAGCCAATCAGCTTCCCCGGGAGTCCCAGGCCTGCCAGTGACCACGCCCCCTGGCCCTGAGTCTCCACCCCCTACTCGCCCAGGGAGGCGGGGCCTTCTGGGGCTAAAGGGAACAGGTTACTTTTTAATTTTAAAACTTTCCCCGTGTTGAAATAAAAAAAGGAACATAAAAACCCGAATGAACAATAAGGACATCCCTCTTCCTCTCCATCCTCACTACTTTATGTGTTATGTTATTTGTTATTATTTTTTGCTTTACTGTTATCTTGGTTCCCTTTTATTTTTTTTCTCACTTAAATTGGTTTTTTTTTATTAAATGTTAAAATAATGGTACATGGGAATTCATGCATTTTCTTTGAGATTTATTTTCTATTTAATCTTTTGTTTTTAAATCCCTCTCGCTTTAAGTGTGTTAAGTGTTTCCTCGTTTAGTTTTCTCGCATGGCCTGTGGCTTGCTTTGTTCCTCTTCTATTTTTTTGTTAATTTACTTGTTATGTTTTTCTCTTTTTTTGTTGTTTTTTCTGTTTTTTTGTTTGTTTGTTGTTGTTGGTTTTTTATGTCGTTTTCTGTGTTTTTTTTTTTTTTTTGCGTGTGGAAGGTCTCCCGTGGGTGGATTTCCCCCTCCCCCTCTGCCTGGACCCTGCGCCTCCCGCTCCGGCCCTCCCCGCTCCGGCCCTCCCTCCCCCCGGCGGGCAGCCCGCCCCGGCCGAGGTCTTCAGACGGGTGTGGTCCTGCGGTTGGCTGTGTTGGAATGTAGCGAGTCCTTGCTCTCCTTGGGGATACAGTTGTGGACTTGGAGGAAGCTGTTGTCCCTGTCCGAGTTGTAGGTGGCGGTGGGCGTGGTGGCGGCCTTCAGCGGGTCCCTGCTGAGCGTGTACATGGAGATCTCGGTGGACGGCAGGGTGTTGAAGCCCTTGATGCCCACGGGCGAGGCGTCCCTGGAGTGGGAGGGCTCGGTGGAGCGCGAGCTGGAGCGGCTGCGGCGCTGGTAGCGGTAGCGGTAGCTGGGGATGCGGGTGATGGCCGAGGCCTGGAGGTAGTCCGTGGCGCGGGCCGTGGCCCGCAGCTGTTTGTGGCGGTCGATAAACATGTGCACCGCCAGCACCCCGACCATCTCGGCGATGATGAAGGACAGGGCCCCGAAGTAGAAGGACCAGCCGTACGAGTAGCTGTTCTTTTTGGAGTCGCTCTTGGAGGGGTCCCCGGCATTGGCAGATATGTACACTATGATGCCAATGATGTTACTCAGACCTGGGCACGGGGCAGGGCGGGCGGCAGAGACAAGGCCGTTAGTTCTGGGGTGGGCGTGGGGTGGGGGTGAGGCCGCTGCCCCCCCCCTCCTGACCTAGGTTTTCACGGTCAGAGCATCTGTTCTTGTGAACCTGTCTGTCCGCCAGGGATACTGCAAACATCATCTTTTCCGTTTTTCTTTTTGTGCCCGGACTGGGACTTGAACTTGGGGCCTGGGTGCTGAGCGTTTTGACCCAAGGCTGGCGCTCTACCATTTGAGCCACAGCTCCACTTCTGGATTTTTTTTTTTTGGTGGTTAATTGGAGATAAGAGTCTCACTGACTTTCTTGCCTGAACTGGCTTCAAATCAACATCCTCAGATCTCAGCCTCCCTAGTAGCTAGGATTACTGGTGTGCCCGGCTCAACTTCGTAGTTTAAGTCATTCAGGGAGCGCTAGGATGGGAAAGGCTGGTAGACAGAGAGGAGGAGGCCAACATTTCACACACAGTCAGCTGAGTAGCAACAATACTTACAATAAGAATTGAAATTGCTTACTGAGTGCTTTACAAGCAACTTGCAGACCAGGAGACAGAAGATCACAGAGGTTTCTCTCCGTGTACTTCCGTCTCCTGGAAGGAGCTGTGCTGAAGGCAGCACAGATTTGCAAGCAGGTCTACCTTGGTTAGGCATGGCTCCTGGAGACAGATGGCCTGGCTTCAAAGACTAAGCCTTTACCTGAGTCTCCTGCTCTGTAAACAGCCACCTGGTTCTAGAGATGAGGAAAGGATGGGAATCTGACTTGAGAATGTTCAGAGAATCCCTCTGCAGTGGGAAGTGCTCCGAGGTGTTAGTTTTATCCAGTGGCTCAAGTACAATTCCTGTTCCTTTCTGGACATCTGAAACCAGTGTATCTCATCATACAATCCAGCTCAGAAAGCTGGTTGTGGGGGCCTGGCTGCAAAAGTAGGGGCGAGGGAGGAGGAAAGTCTTCCTTGGACTTAGCTGGGCATCAGGTAGGGGCTCAAGAAATGATGGGGAGCCAGATACTGGTGGCTCATTCCTGTAATCCTAGCTACTCAGGAGGCTGAGATCTAAGGATTGTGGTTCAAAGTCAACCCAGGCAGACAAGTCCATGAGACGGTTATCTCCAATGAACTACCAGAAAACCGGAAGTGGCACTGTGGCTCAAAGTGGTAGAGCACTAGCCTTGAGTGAAAAGGGTCAACACTCAAGCCCCAAATTCAAGCCCCAAGACCGATAACAATGACATAAGAAAAAAAAAGAAGAAAAGATCAAAAGAAAAAAGAAAAGAAATGATGGGGCCCCTTGGTTGTCCCCCACTCTGTCTGCTCAGTGGATTTGCATAGGCAGAGCATGTAGGATCAGGCCTGGTATTTCCAAGTGGTGGGGAAGATGGTCCAATGGGCAGCTGGGTGTCGGTGGGGCTGAGGTTCCCGGGGGACTCAGTGAGGGCTCTATAGAGCCTTCCCTTGAGACAGCCCAGGACCAGAGATGTCCCTCACCCCAGGTCCCCCAGGTCTCCTAGCCCTGCACTTGGGGGTTTCCCTTACCCCTCTGCTGGCCCGCCCACCTGGTGCTCTCACCTGCAGACACGAAGAAGATGCCGGCACTCAGGATGATGTTGTGCTGAGTCTTGTAGAACTCGCTGGCTGCAATGCAGAGCCCACCCATGAAAAGCAGAATCACGCTGAGGATTGGGAAGATGCTCAAGGCTCTCATGGCCCCTGCAGGACACAGAAGGCCAGGGAGGGAAAGAAAGAAGTGACCATGAGGCTGTGGGATGGGAGGTAAGGGGAAGGGAATGAACCACAGCAGTCAGGCCTTCTAGGACATAGCCTAGGTCCGGGTTGCTTAGCAACAGGAGAGAGGGCGGGAGGGAGGGCCACTTTCCTTCAAGAGCTTTCCTCTATCTTCAGGACCAATCTCCAGCCCTTTGTCAGGCACACAGAGGCCCCTGTGGGGACTCCTGCATCCCAGTGGTCATGTTCTTTCTTGCTTAGCAGAGCAAACTGCCCATGGCTCTGTTTTCATGCTGAGGACTTTTGGCATACTTAATGGAAATGTCTTTTTCTGTTCTCTCAGCAACCTTCTATTCATGCATCAAAATCCAATTCAAAGTCTTATCTGTGAGGTCTTCCCTGACTTCCTCGTGCAAAGCTGTTAGCTAAACTTTCTCTTATGCCTTGGAGAACACTGGCACAGTGAGAGGGTGGCACGGCAGCCAATGGATCTACATGGCTTGAATTGGAATCTGGCCGTAGCATTTATTAGCATGTACATTTGGGGAAGTTATCATGTCTCTGTGTGCTCAGTTTCCTTACCTGTAAAACAAGAGATGACAATAGTATTTGCCTCCTAAGTTTGCTGTGAGGATTAAGTGAGCTGAGAAAATGATTCATTTATAAAAAAAGGTACTGGGAGCTAGGTACCAAATAGCTCACATTTGTAATCCTAGCTACTCAGGAGGCTGAGAGCTGAAGATCATGATTCAAAGCTAGCCAGGATAGGAAAGTCCGTAAGACTCTTATCTCCAATGAACTACTCAGAAAAAGCCAGAAGTGGAGCTGTGACACAGTGGTAAAGTGCTAGCCTTTGAATAAAAAGAGCTCAGGAATAATGTTCAGACCCTGAGTTCAAGCTCCAGGATTGGCACAAATAAACCCAACAACCAAAAAAGATACTGGGGCAAGAAATAGTAATTACTGATATCATAGGGACCTTTTGGCCAATGCCAGGGACTGGTTGTTTGGGGATGTGTTTTGGGGGTGAGTGTAACACTTCCTGTCCCTTTGAGTGGCCACATAGCCACGAGGTTCTGTCTAGACTTGTTGTTCTGGGGCTTGGTTCTGGAACTTGAACTCTAGGATTTGTATCCTTACTTGGCTTGTTTGCACAGGGTTGGAGCTCTACTACTTCAGTCATGCCTCCAGCCTGATTTTTAATATGGATTTTTCCTCCCTGGGCTGACTACAAACCATGATCTTCCCAGTCTCTGCTTCTTGAGTAGCTAGAGTTAAAAGTATGGGCTGCGCCGTGTGCCGGTGGCTCACGCCTGTGATCCTAGCTACTCAGGAGGCTGAGATCTGAGGATTGCGGTTCCTACCTGGGCAGGAAAGGCCGTGAGACTCTTATCTCCAATTAACCACTAGAAAACCAGAAGTGGCACTGTGGCTCAAGCGGTAGAGCACTTGCTTTGAGCTGAAGAGCTGAGGGACAGCACCCAGGCCCAGAGTTCAAGCCCCATGACTGACAAAAAAAAAAAAAAAAAGTATGGGCTGCTTTTGCCTGGTGACTAGACTTTTCTAAGAGGGTTCATTGCAATGTGTGACATGAGAAACCCTTACTTGCCCCTCATCTGCAGCAAGGTCTAGCTGCTCACTGATGCTGTGGAAGAGAGGAGACCTGGTGTTTGGGGTTGGGGGACTTGCAGGGTGGAGCTGTGCACTCAGGCTGGCTGCAGGGGCCAGAGGCTGAGGGCAAAGCCGTTGGCTTACCCTGCAGCCTGAGCACCAGAGGGCTGGACCCTGGTGGGATATTCTCTTCCTGCAAGTCATCTCTCAGACAGTGAAAAGTATCTGCTCCTAATTCACTCTCCAGCCTAGGCACAGCCACCCCCCCCCCATGACACATGGCAACTTGCAGCTATCTATTTTCATCTTTACAGGCACACAGGGGTGATAAGACCTTGAGAGATGAGAGTGCACTCTTGGTATCTGCAGGTGCTTGGCTCCCAGCAGACTGTCATTGAGGAAAAACCTGCGCATGCTCAGGGCAGAGCTCAGTACACTAAAGTTCTGTGTGTATAGTAGGTAAGAGCATTCAAACTTGAAAGAGCATGGAGCCACTACGTTACTGTCACAAAAATGGCAGTTGTGTACTTTAATTCTACTCACCAAAGACTAGATCTTATTTCATGCTCTTTGTCTCAGCACTGAAAATGCTTCATTCATTCCCCCACCCCCCACCATGCCACCCGACTTCTCTTAAAAACAAGCCGCCTGTCAACAAGTCTGTAATTTTCACTTGAGTGCTTCAATTAAGCACATTACATGCCCTTTTTGGCTCAAGAGGATGACTGTAATGTTCACCTTGCTCGTTGGGAGGCAGATTTCACACAATCAAGGGCAGGGAAACACTCAGCAGATCACATAATGATTTAAACACAACAGATGATAACAGAGAGCTTCTCCCCATTCTCTGTCAAAACCATGTGCAGGACTGGGAATGTGGCTTAGTGGTAGAGTACTACCCTTGAGCAAAAAGAAGCTTAGGAACAGTGCCCAGGCTCTGAGTTCAAGACCCAGGACTGGCAAACAAAAGCAAAAACAAAACCATGTGTAGCTGGGTGCTAGTGGTTCATGTCTATAATCCTAGCTACTCAGGAGGCTGAGATCTGAGGATCATGGTTCAAAGCCAGTCCAGGTGGAAAAGTTCATGAGACTCTCATCTCCAATCCAGAAGTGGTCCTGTGGTTCACATGGTAGATCACCAACCTTGAGTGTAAAAAGCTAAGGGATAGCATCTAAGCCCTGAGTTCAAGCACTGATACTGGTGTATACACACACACACACACATACTCAAAAACCATGCATAACAAATGTACAAGTAAGGTGGACTTAATGTATCTATCCAGATACAAGCTGTGAGGGTGCTAGGTGGTGTAGCCAAGGCCTGTGAAACTGAATGGGGAACAGGAAGTGTGTGTGTGTGTGTGTGAGAGAGAGAGAGAGAGAGAGAGACAGACAGACAGAAAGAAAGAAAGAAAGAGGGAAAAAGAAGGAAGAAGGAGGAGGAGGAGAAGGAGGAGGAGGAGTGCTTTTGTCCCATTGCAGACCCTGAACTGGCTGTTTGTTCTCTATGTCCGGAAGTCCTCCGCTGCCCAGTCTTCCCACGTATCTCTCTGGCTGTTCATGGCCTGGCAGCCTTAGACATTGTGCTTGTTGTTCCTTAGCCTAAAAAGCCCTTCCTGGGGGTTTGTGCGGCCCCCACCACTCCCTCACCGCTCCCTCCTTCATCTCAGCCTATTGTTACTTTGGCCATGAGCATCTGGCTGGTCTTTGTCTTTTGCACTCAGCGCCCAGTTCCAGGAGGCAGCGCTAAGCAATGACAATGGCTAATGCGGCCTGAGTGCTTCCTGGGCTGCAGGCTGGAGCAGAGAACTGTCTTATTCCAATTCAGTCTCTCACCCGGGGGGTACTGGGGACCATTACTGAGGAAGCCTAGGACCAGGTGGCTCAGGGGAGCAGGAAGCGCATGGCTGCAGCTCGGCCTGCTAGAGTACTCTTCTCTCCTGCCTCCTAATGGCCACGATCAGGACACTTATCTCCCAACACTCACCCTCCTGCACACTCTCCCCTCACTGCCTTCTCATCTCCAGCAGGTGGTCCGGTGCGCATCTCCACCTGTCCCGTAGCTGGTGGCACCTGACTTGGGAGAGCCTGATTCTTTGTCAGCTTGTTCTTGTCCTCAGGTGTGTGTGTGGTGGGGGTGGGG